ATTATGAGGTACCTTATCAAAAGCCTTACTGATATCAAAATAAATTATGTCTACCTGATCCCTTCTTTCAAGACTAGAAGTCCATTCATTTAAAGATTCTAACAGACAGGAAGTTGTTGATCTACCTACTCGAAAGCCGTGTTGGCTGTCACTCCAAAATTGACTATTTGCTAGATGGTCATTGATTCTTTTCAGGATACACCTTCCGTAAACTCTACAAATAACGGAAGTGAGACTAATAGGCCTGAATTGGCTTGGGCTAGAAGGAGTTTCTATTTTTTTTTGTAGGAATAACAATCGCCTCGTTCCATTTTTTCGGGGTTTTTCCTGACATCATTGAGTAATTACAGAGTTGTGCTATTGGGCTAGCTATATATATGGATGTCAATTTTAAAAAACTAGAAGGAATATCGTCTGGGGTTAGTGTATTATTACTCTTAATTTTCTTAAGTAACTTATAAATTTCATCTTCAGATACCCATATCATTTCCTGGATATTTTTTGTGGTATTATTGGCTTGGAACGTTGGACTAGGATTTGTAAATTGTGATTCAAAATACTCCGATAGACATTCAGATTTCTCATAGTCTTCACTCAATACTATTCCGGAAAAGTTTTTGAAGTCTGGTGTCTCGCCAGATTTCTTCTTTAACACAAATTTAAAAAACTTAGAAAACCGACTGACACCTTTTTTCTGAAGAATTTGCAATTCAACATTGCCTTTATATTTTTTCAATTTTTTCCTAATTTTTTTTGTAATCAGGGCGTATTGTTCAAAGTCAGAATCACTTCTAGTTAATTTCGTTTTTTCCCAAAGGTAGTCTACAAGTTTACTGAACGACATCAGGTATTGGGGGAGATTTCCATATTCAGAATTTACTCTAATCCAAGGAACAGTGCATTCAAAAACATGATTAAGGTAGGAGAGGAAATTATCATATTTGTCATTAATGTCTAAACTTGAACCAAAGATTTGTGTCCAGTCAACTCTATGTAACATTTGTTTCAGGCATCATTTCAGGTTTCAGGCATGCTTCGCACTCGTCTCGTTTTCCTTTCTTCTTCCGTCCACAACAATGACAATAAAAGTTCATTTCAAGAATAACCTCGTTACGGAGCAGCTCCAACTCTCGCTTGATAACACCCAATGATACGGGCGGTGGTGCTCCATTAATAACCGACATCATTCCATCGAGTCGATCCATAGAGTTTTCTGATAGTCCCTCTGAGAGCACAAAGTTGATGTAGCCGGAAATTCGAATATCAAAGTCTTGAATTTCTCTTCTTTCGTAGTTCATCATTGGTAAGAGACAATCATAATCGACATCTTCCAAGTTTTCACCGAAATCCACCTGACCTGAAAACATAGGAACTACCAATGACCTTTCAAAAAATTTTGAACACTGTCATTTCAAAATAGTTCAGTTTTTCACATCTCGGTCACTTACTCATTTCATTTGTAGTATTCCTAGTTGCTGGTCGTAAACTACTTTCTTCTTCTTCATTATCCTTCCACAGTTCGAAATCTTCATTTCTCGACTCCATAACTGAAAAGATTTTCGATGTTACTATTACTTGAGAATTTCCCAACTCACCGATTTTCTTCCGGTGTCTTTTCCAACGCGACATCTGCTACGGCTACTGTCTGAAAACTAAAAAGTGATACATTTCATGACTTTCGAACGAAAAAGACAAAAAAAACAAATTTAAATAACATAAAACAATAAAAATGCATAAATGTATGATTATAAATCGTAAGCTAATCAATTTCGAAACTCCATGTATAGACACGAGATGCGCAGATGGTTCAAGAAGGGGCACGGCAACGGCACGGAAGGGGCACGGTAGCGGCCCGCTAGGGGCACGGGTGCGGTGTTCCACGGGCACTTTGAACGCGGCACCGTGCCGTTAGGATGCGGATCCTGTGCCCCTCTGTGCCCTAGCGTGCCGAAAATTTGCTGAGTAGGGAGGCGACCTTTTTTAACCCGACCGACGATTTCCGCCCGGTACGGCTATTGAATGTGCACCCTGTAACTGATTAAAATGCGTGTCGATTATTATTAAAAAATTTAGATCTCGCTGAGCTCTATCGTCTGGTATGTTGTTTTGTCCACAATTTCAATTTTAGAAACGAGCGATCAGCCAGCCCATCGACAAGTACTCGGAAGGTCCTCCTGTCAAAGGGACCCTTCTAATACAGGTTTTATGGTAATTCTTTGGAAACATTCTTCAATATTCTATTGACTTCAAACATCAACTGAAAGAAATGATCCAAAAGATCAACGAAAATTAATAAGCTCATGAAAAATGGGAACATGTAATAAAACTTTTGAAAGCTTTTCCATATTTCTCCAAATAAAAGCCCGCTCAATCAAGGTAGAAATCATTCGATATTCAGTTAGAATGAGATCTCTCCTTATTCTAGTTACTTTGTGTGGATATTCCTATTGCCAATTTAGTTCAACTGGACAAAAGAACATTGTGGATGCTCACAACAGATTGAGATCTTCAATTGCTAAAGGAACATATATCGTCAAAGGAACTAAGAAACCAGCCGGAAGCAACATTCTCAAAATCGTCAGTTCTGATTAATTATCTTTTGATTTAAAAATTTCAGAAATGGGATAAAACTGTAGCTACATCAGCTCAATCTTATGCCAACAAATGTCCGACTGGACATTCGAAGGGAACTGGATACGGAGAGAATCTCTATTGGCGTTGGTCGACATCTTCTCCAAAAGATTTGAATGAATTCGGACTTCGTGCTTCTGATGCCTGGTCCAGTGAATTTGGAAAGTATGGATGGAAGACTAATAAGATGGACAGAGCACTTTTTGGATCTGGAGTTGGACATGCTACGCAAATGGCATGGGCTAACACAGGAGGAATCGGATGTGGAGTGAAGAATTGTGGAAAGGATAAGACAAAGAATGGCATGTACAAAGTGGTTGTTGTTTGTCAGTACAAGGGGCCGTGAGTTAAAAAAACTAAAATCGTCTCTCATGAATATTTTGAAATTTCAGAGGGAACTACATGGGTCAGGATATCTATAAAAGTGGAAAAACTTGCTCTTCGTGTCCTTCGAAAACGAAATGCGAGAAATCTACAGGACTTTGCGTTTAAAAACAATTTCTTATTGTCTGTTCAATGAATGTATTCTTTGAGAATTGTTGTTAATTGAATCACACTATTTCTATGCCTTGAAAATTGGTGAAACTGTATTTTCATCAACTCGGCTGCTGGCTCGTAACTTTTGTGTCAGAAGTTGGGATTTCCGGTTTTGGAAGGGTACTGGCTAGGCTCTGGACGGAACTTGCTCAAAAACGGCTGTATAGCGGACCAGATTTTGGTCGGAAGTGGAAAGTCGAAATACTACTGCAGAGTGAATTTTCAAGTTTTTTTTCTCACAAACTGAGCTTTGAGTGTATTAAAAACATCTTATTATAATAGAACAAAATATCTTAATTCCTAATAACAGTTGCATCAAAATGCGCAATGTTTTATTCGCTATTTTTTCATGATTCGCTTCAAATGATTTGGTTCAAAATTGACAATGTGAGCAAAACAGCGTAGCAGATATCAGATAATAGAGCTCAGAGAGCCTCCAATATTATGGCTCGAGCCGGCATGTTTTAACCGGACCGACGATTTTTGCGCTGCATGGCTACTGAATCTCGGTCAGCACCCGGTTACTGATTAATCGAGTCTTATTGGAGGTTGTAAAACTCGCTCTCTATCGCCTGGTATGTTGTTTTTCCTACAATTTTAATTTTGAAGCGAGTAATCAGCCGGTCCGTCGACAAGTATGCTTCTCGGAGGGTCCTTCTTTAAAAGGGCCCTTCTAATAAAGGTTTTACGATGTTTTTTTAACATTGTTGACAATTCAATTGTCTCAAAAATAACTGAAAGGAAGTAATCCAAAAGATCAACGAACATATAAAAAACTTATGAAAAATGGGAAACTGTAATAAAATTTTTGAAAGCTTTCCGATATTTCTCTAAATAAAAGCCCGCACAATCAAGGTAGAATTCATTCAGTTAGAATGAGATCTCTCCTTATTCTAGTTACTATGTGTGGATATTCCTATTGCCAATTTAGTTCAACTGGACAAAAGAACATTGTCGATGCTCACAACAAATTGAGATCTTCAATTGCTAAAGGAACATATATCGCAAAAGGACTTAAGAAACCAGCCGGAAGCAATATTCTCAAAATTGTCAGTTCTGATGAATTATCTGATTTTTATTTGAAAAATTCAGAAATGGGATAAGCATGTAGCTGCTTCAGCTCAATCTTACGCCAATACATGCCCAACTGGACATTCAAAATCAGTCGATAGATTTGGATATGGCGAGAATCTCTTCTGGAGTTGGGCGCCAAATTTTCCTCCAAAAGATTTGAACGTATTCGGAGTTCATGCTTCTGGTGCCTGGTCAGGTGAATTTACAAAATACGGATGGAAGACTAATAAAATGGATGGGGCACTTTTCCGATCTGGAGTTGGGCATGCGACGCAGATGGCATGGGCTAACACGGGAGGAATCGGATGTGGAGTTAAAAGTTGTGGAAAGGATAAGAAAACAGTGGTTGTTGTTTGCCAGTACAAGGGACCGTGAGTTGAAAAAACTATGATCAAAAAAACTGTCATGAATATTTTGAAATTACAGAGGGAACTACATGGGTCAGGATATCTATAAAAGTGGAAAAACTTGCTCTTCGTGTCCACCGAAAACAAAATGCGAGAAATCTACAGGAATTTGCGTTTAAAAACAATTTCTTATTATCTGTTCAATGAATGTATTCTTTGAGAATTGTTGTTAATTGAATCACACTATTTACCTTGAAATTGGTGAAACTGTATTTTCATCAACTCGGCTGCTGGCTCGTAACTTTTGGTCAGAAGTTGGGATTTCGGGTTTTGGAAGGGTAGTGGCCAGGCTCTGGGCGGAACTTGCTCAAAAACGGCTGAGTAGCGGGCCATGGTTAGATTTAGGTTGGAATATGAAAGTTGACATACTACTGTTTGAAAAGTGAATCGAAATTAATATTTTTTCACAAACTGAGCTTTGAATTTATTGTCAACCCGGAAAAACTTCCATTTGAAATCTACATTTCCGATAAAACGAGTTATCAGAGATTCTAGTGGTCCGGACTCAGGAGCCATCAAAATGCGCATTCTACAATTCTGCTTCATTCACTATTTATTTTTAAACTGATAAAATGTTTCTTAAAATTATGGGACACGAAAAAAGTATTTTGAATGAAACTCTTAATGTCTGAAACACAACATTCATTCAATTTTCAAAATCTGAAAAAAAAACATTTAGTACCGTTTGGTCTGAAAATTTTCAGAGATCATAAAGTAAATTTGGCAAATGATTAGGAGAGTACAAAAATTTTAGGGTCATTGGGGTTCAAAGCAATTCAGGAGTGCAGAATCCTCAATTCGGGGGTAAAAATACCCTGAAAGTTTTCAAATTTTGGGCCTCTGAATTGTGGATTTTGTATCCCTTAATTGATTTGTACCCCGTTATACCCTCGAATTGTTGCTCCCTCCGAATTATGTGCCGACTTCTTTTAAAACATCAAAAAATAATTATAGAGGCCGTCCTTTTTATGAAATTTAATTGATCCTATCAGACGCTTCTAAACTTCACTATTGGTTTTAGAGCTCTTCCACCAACTAATTTTTGTGCTTGTGCCCTTCCATAATAAGGCTCTAGGTTGAAGTCGTTGTGACAGTTGTACATCAGATATGGTCTGATACATGTGTACAAAACACATACATTCATGTTTCTTTAAACTAATAGTAGTCTATCGTTAATTGAAGTTTAGTCTTGTCTCTCGATATAGAACTACGTGCCGTTATTTGGTTTTTCGTCGAAAAAAATTAATCGAACAGAGCTCAATACATGTTTGACACACCTGTTGTTCCGGCACCTCTCTGACTATATGCTCTCGTTCTTCGGAATTAGCTGGTCGTAGTTCAACAGGACAGTTGTTTATACAAACTAGTACTCTGTATAAATACAATCGAACCGTTTAGAATTTCAGATTTCAACATGCTTATTTCTTTCTTCGTTCTAGCTTCTTTCCTTTTGATTGGTAAGTATCATTGAGCTGAAAAATAGCCAAATGATTTCTAATCTTTCTTCAGGTACCGAGTGTCAGTTCAGTAGTAATACTCAACAGTTTATTGTGGATCTTCATAATTCGTTCCGATCGAAAATCGCAACTGGAACTTATAGTATAAATGAAACTACAAAACCAACATGTAGCAACATGAGAAAAATGGTAAGCTAAAGCTGACAGAACTTCAACTCATGTCAAGTTTACAGTCCTGGGATTCCTCACTCGCTACTTCTGCCCAAACATATGCCAACACATGCCCAACCACTCATTCTAATCTAGCTGGAACTGGAGAGAACTTCTATATGAGAACAACATCAGCTAATATTGGAGGGCTTGATGTTTATGGAGGATCTGCTGCAATGGCTTGGCAACAAGAATTCCAAAAATTCGGATGGGCTACTAACTATTTCGATATGAACCTTTTCAATACTGGCGTCGGAAACGCCACTCAAATGGCATGGGCCAAAACAAGTCTTGTTGGATGTGGAGTAAAAAATTGTGGAAAAGATGCAAGTGGAATGAATCGAGTATCAGTTGTATGCCATTACAAACCACTGTAAGTTTGAGAAATTTTGATTGATTGAAATTCTTTTTTTTTCTAATTTCAGAGGAAACTATTTGGATCAAATGATTTATGTCAGTGGATTCACATGCTCTCAATGTCCAACTGGAACTGCTTGTGATCAAACGACTGGATTGTGTGGATAATGATAATATCTGTCTTTCAATTTTCCTTTAGGCCTAGCCATTTAATGTATTCTAAAATTAAATTCCAAAATGAACAATTCAAGATTATTGTTTTTGTCGAGTAAATGTTTCTGAAAAATTGCGTGAATGTTTCTGAAACTAAAAAAAACTTATTGGCTGTCAGACTGTAACTTCTAGTCAATAGCTGAAAGCGATTGGCCTTTATGACGGATATTGACCAGGTTCTGGTCGTAACTTGCCCAAGAACGGCTGTGTAGCGGGCCATTGCCAGATTTTAGTCGGAAGGTCTTGTCATAAGTTTGTCGGAGTTTGATCGGCTTTAGTTACCCGGAATCTCACCAATTCCGACCAAAAATTGACGGCAACTCCCGAGTTGCTCTTCAATTTCTCAAGTTACCAGCTCCATTTAAATAAAAATGAAACATTGTTGCGTATCCCGCCATGAAGTTCTTTCTTTCCTCCAACTGAATATCGGACCAAAACTCAAAGGAATAGAACAATTGGTTTTTTTGTTGCTAAACCAAGAAACTATCATAAAACATGAGAATCCTATAACGAATATCCGATGGGAAAATCCCATGTTTTACCATTGTTTTCCAGTATAAAAGGCTGCTCGAAAACAGAGAGAACCATCGACTTCTTACTGTTTTCCAGTTTTCTAATATTTCTATTTTCAGTAAACCATGCAATCCGTTGTGCTCTTGACCCTCCTCTGCGTTGGAGCTTATGCCAATTTCGGAGAAGGAGGAAAGCAAGCCATCGTCAATCATCACAACAACGTCCGTTCCAAGATTGCCAAGGGAGAATACGTGGCAAGAGGAACCAGAAAGGAAAGCGGAACCAACATGCTCAAAATGGTAAGTCCGCTTAAGCCTTTAATTGAAAATGTGAAATTTATCAGAAATGGGATGGATCTCTCGAATCTTCTGCCCAAGGATATGCTAACAGCTGCCCAACTGGACACTCTACCATTCCATCCATTGGAGAAAACCTCTACTATTACTGGTCTGGATCCCCAATCTCCAACCTCGATCAATTCGGAGGAATGGCTTCTGCTGCTTGGGAATCTGAATTCCAAGACTTCGGATGGGGATCCAACAAGTTCACCATGTCTCTTGCCAACACTGGAATTGGACATGCCACTCAAATGGCTTGGGCTTTGACTGATAAGATTGGATGCGGAATCAAAATGTGTGGACCAGACGCCTCAAAGGGAGGAATGAACCGAGTCGCTCTTGTGTGCCACTACAAGATCCAGTTAGTTTGATTTTTAAAAAAACCTGGAAGCAACAATTATTTTTCAGAGGAAACTACTTGTTCAAGAGCATCTACAACTCGGGAGCCACCTGCTCTGCCTGCCCATCAGGAACCAGATGCGAACAATCTTCTGGACTCTGTGCATAATTTTTCCTTACATTGCCAGATTTTTCTTCTGTTTTTTAGTAAACTATTTTCTCACAATTTTTGTAGCGTTCGAATCCAGAAAATTTTATAAAAATTACAATGGGAATTGAGGAAGTGGCTCATCGCGATATGGCTGAATCGAAGAGTCTTCATACCCTTCTTTAGCCCAATTCGCTCTTTCTGAGGAGCAGAAAAAGAAGAAAATGATGTTAGCAATGATAAGGAATATGGCATGAACAATGAATAATGTCGACCAGGAAGCTGAAAAACTTAAATATTAGGTTGATTCTTAATTCCAAAAAAGTATGTTTTGTGTTTATTTTCTTTCAGTAAAGTTGGTATACGGCGAAACTTTTTATTGCTTTTTTTGTTCAGAAAATCAAGAAACGATTATTTTTTATTTTTTTTTCTTCGTTTTCATTTGAATCTAAATTTTTCTGAACAAAGAAAATAAATGAAATTGTACCGTACACCACCTTCAAACTTGCTTCCAAATGAATTTTTGTTTGATGGAAACATTGGATGTTTCAAATGAGCGAACCTTTCAAATACAAACATACACCCCCACCTGTCTAATCTCACAATCTCTTTTTTCGTAGTTATAACAACTATAAAACGATCACTCAATACTAGTTTCTAACTTCCAGGTGTCCCGATATGACTTACAGTAATCCGTGTTTTTGGCAATAAGAACATTAAGTAAGGAGGAAAAGAACATTGCAGCTGAATTGACAATGAAAATGTTGACGAGAAGGAAAAGGTGTAGATGCCCAGATCGAAGTTGATTCATTCTCAAATGACCAGCATAAGAGCAACCAAGAAGAGAGGATGCCAAAATAAACATGACCTAGAAAAAAGGCGGTAATTCAAAAATCCATTCGAAAAGTTCTTACTGTCACAATATATTTGTGATGGACGGGATCGAAGAATCCTAGAGCAAATAGGAAAATTCCACAAGTTCCAAACGCGACAGTGTTGAAGAAGCGCATTTTGTTTTGTTCGCTGTTTCTGAAAAAAGTAAGTTTCAGCAAATACCGTAAACACTCTAACAGAACGTCACCACTAACTTTCAACTTCGAGCCAATTTATCTCGCTTCCTGTAAAATACATCGAAAAGTGATAGACTGTCAAGATATTGGTGATAGTATGATAAGGATTCAGTCAGTGAGTCTCTTTTTATTATCTTTCACAGGAAGTGAGATATATGGGCTCAAAGTTGACAGTTTGTGCGGCCTTCTATAAGAGTGCTTACGGTAACCAAGTTTCCATAACTTACGCAAGCTTTCCGTACAGATAAACCGATGAACAAGATGTGATCAAGTTCAGAATCGGAGCAATAATCGTGAAATAGGCCGATGAGATTTCAGAGTGTCCAACAACTTTATGGAAGAATGTCGGACCGAATTGATAGAATAGTTGGAGAGCACATCCGTAAGCAAATGAAGTGAAGAATATGACCCAGATACGGAAGTCTTGATAAATTGAAAGATATGGAATACGAAGATCGAATGTACGAGAACGAGTACGTTCGTATTCAAACATCGCCTGAAACAGAAAAATCGAGTTTAGCTGTATAATCCAAAAAAGTTTACATTGCAAAAACCAATTGTCCCAGCTCTCTCTTTAAAGTCCTCATCAAAATGTATCAGAACAAAAACAAAGAAAATGATTAGAATTGTAATCACTGCACCATAATGGGCCGAATGCCATCCCAAAGAGGATGATGCCATATGAGAAACAATTGGATGAACGAAAATTTCAGAAATATGGGAGTAGGCAAATACGATAATTGGAACTGTGATATGATCGAATGGAATGAAAACTGAGAGCTTGCAGACGTATGGAATGAAAGCAGCCAGAGAACATCCTAAAATATTATTTCAGAAACTAAAAAAAAGATTTCAATAAACCTTGAAATATGCGAAGAATAATGGCGAGAAGATACGTTTTTGCATTTACACAAATCGGAAAAAATAATGCTGGAATGATGCTGATAAAGGCGCACATTACAAAGCTTCTCCTGAAAATATAACCTGGGTATAAGTATCTTTAACAATCTCAAAACCTGAATCCCATATTATTATAAGCATAAGTGATTGGAGTTGCAGCAAGTACCGTACCAACGGAAGTGACAGTTATCAAAGATTCTTTTTGGGGATTTGATAAATAGTAGACGTATTTTACGATCACATCTCGAGATGTTTGTTTTTCCGGGTCGTATTGATTGTCGACTTCTTCGTAGACTGAAATTTATATTGCAGTTTTTTCTTATACATAGAATAAAGACTTCGACTTTTCTTTTATTTTATAAATTTGAAAAAATAATATTTTTTCAAGAAGAACTTATATAGTAATCAGTCTTGTAATAATCAAATATTCAGACCCAATGGAATGTTTGGTCCATGACTATTAAAATTTTTTGCTGTTTTAATAAATATTCATAATGAACCAAATGTTCTTTTTTCCTGGAACTAACTAGGTATTCCACATATTTTGTAATTGATCTAAACGGTTTTGTATCTCCTGACCAAAAGACCGGTATTGTTAAAAACAGTCTCCTAACTTTCTAAATGATTACTTTTGTAGTGTGTGTGTGTGATCTTGCAAATATCTAGCCAATGTAATCTTTCCTACAAACAATACGGAAATGTGTTAGGAACACAAGATCCTCATTTTCTTATCTTTTTATCAGCCGTCGCACCCCTTTTTGTCTTTTTTAGTGATCGGATCAGAAACCACGAAAAAAAGAAGACATAAGATTTCGTAACAGATACATAAACAAGAGAAGATTGAAAAGGCGAGGAACTTACAATCAGATTCTGATGAATTACGGAATTCGTGAAGAAAATTGATTGTCGATTGATAGACAGTTGGATTCGAATAGATTGAAGACATGCATAAAGTACAAAGAAATATGAAGAAGAATGGAATGTGCTAAAACTATTCGTTTTGAAAAGGTGAAAATCTATTTCTAATTACCTTTATGTTCTCCATCGTATTCGATTTTTTCTCCCCATCGCCTTCTTCTGATTGTTTAGGAGAAACTGAACTCATCTCGAAAAAATTAATTCAACAAAAAAAATATCGTTTCGAATTCAGAATATTTTGAAACAAAAACTTTGCTTTCAAGCGGAGAGAGGACTGAAAGGTAAAAAATCAAAAACCCGACAGACTTTTTTTGCATAATCTGCTCATGACGGGTTTTAGGTAGCACGCGCGCGCATCTTTTTCAAAGATCCCGGAGGAAAACGGGAAACAAAGTATGGAACGGGACTCCAGAAAGAAACAGTTGTAAACTCTGTGAGAAATATTTTTGGAGAATCAGTTTGGAGCTGTGGAAAACTATTGTGGACGCCGACCAAACATTTATATTCCATCAAAATGTTTTAAAGCTATGTATTTTCCTAGCATTATTACGAAAGAATTCAAGAAAAAATTTGAAATCACCAAAAATGATGTTGAGAATAAGGTAAAAAAAGAGCCAATTTTGGGACCGTGCTGTNTCGTCCGATCGTCTCAACAGCTTCGTTTTTCTTCTCCTTCTTCGCCACCAAGTCTCCGCCCCTTTTCGAATGGTTCAGCTGTGTCTCTCGTCTGCGCGTCTTTAGTCTTCGAGACGACGGCTGTAAAAAAACAACAGAAAAGTTTGCGAAACGGATTGACCCGAAAGTCACGAAAACAGTGGTTTACATGTGATTAGGTTGTGATAAGTGCATTCGGAAACCCTGAAAGGAATGCTAATCAGCTCATGACCAATTAGTTCAAAATTTTGAATACTTCGTAACATAACTTTTTTCCT